TGAGACAATTATGACCATGTTGGCTCATGACTACATGGCCAAAGACATGTTAATCCTGGAAAATCCTGTCCCAGCCCCTAGATTTATCTTATGACTCAAGCCTCAGACGTTCAAGCATGGGTTTCTGGATGGATAATTCACCTCTTCTTCCACCCTTTCCATCCATCTCCTAGACACAAGGCTAATCGCATCTCATGTCAGATGTCGCAGCTGCAGCTGGAAGGGCTTCCAACAGCAACTGGTAGGAAGGAAGGAAAGCAAAGAGGAGTTTTAAAGGCACCTAAACAACTACTTTTAATCTTATTTTCCAAAGAGCATTTGCTCCTCCATAAACAACAGCCAGATTCACATAAGCATTTAAGCACCTAATGGCTTATTGATTAAAGTCAGGCAGTCGATGCCTACTTGACATTAGGCAAAAAGCCTGTTTGGAATAAGACCTAAATGCCCTAGATCTGACAAAGAAGTATTTAAGCAGAAAAAATTGTAACCCACGTGAAAAAAAGAAATACGGACTCTTCTAAAAGTAGCGCCGGTAACTATTACTTAAGCTGTTTTCTATTGCACAGCTATCAAAAGCTTTCTATATTTTTCAGAAATTCAAAGAGAAACCAAGAAAGGCATATTAAAGTACACACAATTTATTCACTGGTGATCAACATACATGTTCAGACTCACAAAATGTTGATGTTGTGATTTCCAGAAAGTCAACATTTCTAGTTGCTTTTTTCACTTCTTGCTTTCAAATAGTGTGAAACCATGGGGATTTCTACTCCACTAAAGCCTCTGTTAGAATAACCTGCAGAGATCTTTCCAAGGAGGAAAGAGGGGAGAAGATACTGAAACTGCCTACTGAAAAGCAATTAAAGAAACTTTAACTGACTCTGCTCAAGTGGAGTCTTGTAAACAGCACAACCTTAACCCTGGAAAATTCCAGTTGCATCTTAATTAAAGCCGACAATGCCGGAAGGTAAACTCACGCTATACCAGAGTACTGTAGCGTCCTGCCCTGTGTGCTGGCCCGAGTTGTCAGTTAGGATAAATACTAAGAGCATTAAGGCCACTGTACTTCACAATCAGAAATAGCTTTACAGCAGTTTTCAAAGGATGTAAAACTCACTGAATGGTGACCAAATATAAACGAAGATTAATTCCAGTAAAACCTTCACAGTTATAGGCCATGGGGACAACAAATATGTGATCAGTGGTGCAAGAAGGTTAATGAAAGGAATGACTGCTGGAAAGAAAAAGACTTCTGAAAATGTGTGCTGTCACATCAGAGATGGATTAGATACGGAAAACCAACACAAAACCAGAGAAAAGTGTCACTGCTAGAACCTAATCAAACAACATGCGCTGATTTTTCTAATGCAGTGGGAAAAGCTGACTTTCAGACTTCAGACTCTGAAGAGTGGCCTTTGCCACCTACAGAAATCCAAAGCAAGCACTTCCAGGAGCCTGCAGCAATTTCAGAGAAACTCAGTGCCGTAAAGAGCAGCTTAACCCTACCAGAAGCTCTCATCTTCTGTCCCTACAAGCAACGCAGCCCACAGGAGTGACAAGCTCCTTTGCTGTCAACCTACGCGCGGGCCAGGCTCAGGCCAGAGAGAAAGGTCTGACTTACTGGTACCAGAGTCAGGCCCTGGCTATGTCTCTGCCCAAGCCACTGAAAACAAGACCTATAAGGGAAAATATGGAAGAGGTGTGAATTCACCAGGCAGAGGGCAGTTTTATCCATTTTTATTTAAAGAGGTTAAAAGAGAACAATAAAAATTCAAGCCTTGCAACACTAGTAAATAAATTCTGATACTATCTTGTGCTGAAAAATACTGGTTTCCCTGATAATTTCTAACAGAGCTTGAAATTACCATGGGATTTTAGTATTTTCCTCCCATTTGCCTCGACACCTTCATGCCAGGGCAGCTCTAGGTTGAATCCTCGTCCTCTGGCTGCTCCACAGCAGTAACACACCAATGCTGCCCTGCTGCAGCAAGGAAGGTGACACTTCAGAAGGTCACATCAGTTATGGACTGCTCAGAGTGGGTGACACACAGGAGCTCTCTCACCTCATCAGTCCCCAGAGACATTTTGCCTACCTATTATTTAACATGTTTCAGTTGACTCAGCCATAGATGTAAAAGCCAGCACCAATGAATCAACTGCATTTGCACTGGAGAACGCCAAACCTAGAACAACGAATGGATCTGATCAAAGTCTACAGCTTTGCCGTCTGCAGCGAGTGTTGCACTGACAATTCCTCGGCATGCAAAGACGACAAACGGCCAAGTGAAGCACATGCCTCAGCTGTACCAAACACTGCACCAGAGGACAAAAGCAAGCAGGAACCAACCTCTACACCACACTACTGAACAGACCCTCAGCAAGCATGAACTAACACATTAATAGAGAAAACTATCAGTTAAACTTCTGAGTCTCTGTTGTACTCACTCCGAGAAACAAAGTAAACAAACTAGGCAAAAGAAAAAATTTAAAAAAGTCATCTTTTCAACAGTTACGGTAGGACACAACACTCACATCGGTACCCAAGTTTTTACCATACACCAATAGCTTCAAAACTGCCTCTGCCCTTTTCAAGAGCACAGTGCCAAGAACTTCAAGAACATCAGCAACAAAGCTTATGTATTTCTTCAGAAGTGCAAAGATTTAAAAGCATTTGAAGGTTTGATCTGTTCTAAGACTGATGGTTGACATATTGCAGAAAGGTCAGAAACTTTTTAAGGAGGGCTCTAACACTCTCCCTCTCACAAGTAACCCTGCATAAAATAAAATGCTGTGTATTTGCTACAGAAAAGCTCCAGTGAACACAGCGCATCAGTAAATGCTTGCCACTTAAAAGCACAAGCTAAAAAAAATTTCAAAAATACATATTCCTAGCGCATGTTCATATTGCAGAAGTACAGCTGCACTCTTCCAAGGCAGATCTCACTGCACCACAGGTCACAGAGGTGAGGAAGCTCTGCTCAGCTGCGTCGCATGACCCAGCCCACACACGCAGCATTGTGCAGTGCAGAGCACAGCCCCTCGCGTGACCCATGGCCAGCCCGAGAGCTGTTACGCTAAAGCTTCCCACACACCAACAAAATAGGTGGTTATGTGCAACAGCTGCAATTCATATTAAACTTCTGAGAAATTATGTTCACTTTTTTAAAAATATGAAGCCTTAAAACAAAGTTTTACCAATTACAGTCTACACCTGAGAGTAACTTCATTAACCATGGAAATACAGCAAGCTCCACTTCTCTTCTGCATGGATGTGAAGAACAGATGACCTGAAGAGCAAATGCAATTATCTGCGTTGGAATTTAGCCAGAATGGTAACTCTCGCACAAAGCAGAATTTAGTGACCTGCATGGCATCAGGACACAGGTAAGTCACACTCTTTGATAGCGGGGCTTTTCAGTTTTTGCATGAATGTTGGCTCAGGGCTAATAGAGATCAAAGCATATCACCCAGTGCATCATGAGGATGCTTCTGAAATTGTCCCTCAACACATACCACTTCAATCCTGACATACCACAGCCCTAACCCTCTGCTAAGGTGGCAGATCTACTACTCATTTACTTACAGAGGAAGGAGGAAATGGAAGCTTCACCTTGTTGTCTGTAGCCTGGCTACCAGCTTAGGAACAAGGCTTATTTACTGCTACCCTTTTTCCCTGCTGTCTCCTCCAGCAATCAGTTCACTGGGCAGTTTAAAGACACTGAAAGAAAAAGAAATCTCAAAGAAAAAAAAACAAAACACAACTTTTACAACATAGATGAATAGGCAGGAGAGACAGAGTCTCAATAGCAGAGCCTTTCAACCATCTGCAGCGCATGTAGAGCTCCAGGCTGAATCCAGGATACTCTCTGGACCAGTAGGGATGTCAGTGAAAACATTTTTTTTGGGAAAGAGGAGAAACAAGGAGAAAAGAGAGGCTGGGTTCTACTATTTGAATTGGGAAAGGAAAGAGAAATGTAACAAATTCACAGGAACCTCTCAATTCTGCTGCTTGGCATTTTTAATTAATTGTATTTCAGTGGGTTTTTTTAATTCATGGTATTTCAGTGAGATAAAAAAGCTCCCAAATATAAAGCAGCTGCAAGGAGCTCCTCAGGAAGAGGCATGCATGCTCCTGCAGAAACTGAAGCTACCAAAAACTCTGAAGTACAGCCAAGGGGAACAAATACTTGCAAAGGGAACTCCATAGGCAAAAGCTGGCGCTGACCTAACTGGAAATTGTTAAAATTCAAAAGGTCGTTACAGAATCACAGAATATTAGGAGTTGGAAGGGACCTCAAAAGCTCATCCAGTCCAACCCCCCTGCCAGAGCAGGATCACCCAGACCAGGTCACACAGGAACGTGTCCAGGCGGGTCTTGAATGTCTGCAGAGAAGGAGCACTAACAAAGCACTAGAAACAACCCACCCTTCCTTCTTCTACTGCACATCGAGTTTACAGGGCTACAGTGTCTGCAGCAAAAGATGTCTTTTAATAAAATGATATACCACATCTATGCCTGTCATGGTTTGTAGGTTAAGGATACAGCACCTGCGTGACTCCCACCAATCCCCACTTATGCACTGCTAATAATTTATTAACTCAGGCAAGAGGCCTGAATTCCACACCTCAATAAAAGGCTCTGCCTTTCTTCCTGATCAGAGCCCACCAGGGGATGGATTCTCAGAACCTGTCAGAGATTACAAATTTAACTCGTTCCACCAGAAAGGGGCTATATAGGAACCACATCATAAGGAGAGCACAACTTGGAAGCTATTAACGATAATTATTTTTCCCAGCTGTGAAGGTCATACCAAAATGGGAATTACAATGTACTCCATTTGAAGGCCCCTGCTGACTGCTGCATAATGGGATCACTAGGGACCGTTTGAAGCTTAAGCCTCATCCTGAGAGTTTCCATCTCAACAAGTTACACAGACCCTGTATGGTGGCACCCATCAGTCCAACTCAGAGACTGATTCCACTAGATTGCTTGGCTCTTAGCTCTCCAAGCAACTCCCCATCCTCTCATCCTCAACAGCTTTTGTAGACATATCCGTCACCACAAAAAGCTCACAGTTGCTAAGCACATGAAAACACAGTTTGTTAACATATAGAGGTGAATTAGTTCAGTGGATGCATTTAACATTATCTTCAGACATAAAGCACATATGACATTGCTCATTTGAGGTGATAATACCATACCTTATCACATCTGGTTCTGTGCCTTCATTCTTGTAAGACGCCTGAAGCTGTTTCTGTCGTGTGAGAAGGTCATCCACCAAATTCTGCCTCCTGTCTCCCTCCAGCTGTGTGCTGATGATACTTGGTTAAGGACTAAACTTAAAAACACTGAAAAACTTTAAATTTAGCATATAAAATATTACCCGCTATACATTCTTAAAATACATCACACCTCCTGACCATCAACTAGAGTAACTGTTTTAACTCAAGAAAAGACTGTAACGTCTAAGAAAGGGACAGTTCACATGTTTCTAAGTGAAATCTGCTGTTATTCTAAGCATGTTTCTGAAGTTTACATGTCTCAAAGAAAAAGTTTCATACAGTGACCACAGAGTGATCTTCAGGTCATCATCATCTCAAAGTAACAAGAGAAACGGCAGCCTATTTACTGCCAACTTAGCATAAATACTAAGAATAGCATTTCCCCTTCCAAAATCCAACACAACTTTTCCTTCATTTATTACCAAGTCCTATGCAGTTGATCTTATCTGTAACACTGACAACGTACAAGAGCATTGCACAGGTTAAGCTCAGGAAAGGATGAGTCTTCTTAAAAGAGCTCCAGCTTAAAATGTTACAATATAAATGAGGCAGGCCCAAACAGAACAGAGCTTTCAAAATCAGCAGAGTATTTCACGTCTTATTTCACTGGAGGCTCATAGCACGGACCAAGTGAGTAGTTCCCAGCCAAATGATCAGTGAACAACTAAAGATTTACTTTGAGCATCGGTTTCCATCTGCAATTCATCAGAACACCTCGACAGCCACTGATGCAGCAGAAAAACAATCCATGCAGCATCTCTGCAAGACAAGATGTCCTGAAGCCCTACAGCTTCAACAGGGGACACATGTTTGGTTTTTTTAAGTTCATGTCAGTGACATTTTGAAGGACTACTAACTCTCTTCCAAGTACTGCTGAGCAGGTGATCAAATAGCTGAACTGGTTTCGGTGTTTTCTGCCACAGCAGCAGCATTTCTCTGCTCTAAAGCACTCACTGGACAGGAAAGTTTTGCCCCCGCCATCAGCACAGCACTCAGTGGGGCCGTGCTTAGACCGGATTTCCACTGTACTAAGCTTGAAATTAAATATTCATTAAAACAGATTGCTGATGGGTATCTTCAGGCAGACAGACTGACTTCTTTGACTCCTTAAGCCTGACAATTCCAGCATACGAAAAGAGCAGCAAACCCAAGCCAGGCCACAGGGTAACACTGCTAGAAGAAAACCTGGGATTTCTTTCCAAGGCATATTTTAAAGCGTTTTGACATAATTCTGAAGATGCAGGTCCACTGCTCCTTAAGTCAGCCCAAGTCAGGGCTGCCATGTCCCTGCCCACACCCTGAACAAGGCTCCATCCATTTCACAAGCACCAGTGCTCCTGCAGCCAGCGACGGAGCCCACAGAAAACAAGATTACAGAGTTCTCTGCTAAACAAGTGATCTTAGCTCACAAACCTGCTGCTCAAACACCAGTGTCAGCACAGTATACAGGCGAGATGATGGCAGCTCTAAGATTATTCAGACCATCTTGTTAAGCTTCTCTCTGACACAAGCGTAACCAAAATCAGCCTCATGCCCACCAGCGATGTCCAGGCTCCCAACTCTTCCTGCACTACAGCTGCAATGAAAACACTACAGAACAGCACGAAGTTCTAGCGGCACAGTCTTCTCAAAATGGAATGAGGGAAAAACTCTAACCATGTGGCAGAGCAGTTATAGCGTATTTTTCCACTCTCTCCCACAACACAGAAAGGTCAGTGAGCTGATGTTTACACAGATACATTTGGCGTGTTGATACAGCCCGAAGCAGTGAGTCCTTCAGCTGATCAATCTTCTCTCTCAGATTCTGCAGCAACGATCTGATAACCACATTGAGCTGAAAGGGAAGAAAGAGATTTTTATTTTTCTGGTCTAAGTTATGTGTATAAAATTTAATACTACCACATGCAGGTGACAATATATTTAACTTCAGCTATACTGGTGTGAAGGACTCCATTCTAAACCAAGGAAGCCTGCCTCAGAGCCACAAAGGGAACGGTTCAGTTAACCGGTTTGGACTGCTTACAAAACAATGACAAAAATAGCACTAGTTTTGCAAACACAATTCTAATGCATTAATGTTGTTTAATATGGAGAGCTTGCTTTCAAGTCTTTATAACACACTCCTTTATATGGACAAAATATTTCAGCAAATTTTAATATTTTCCAGCTAGTTTTCCAGTTCTTTTCTCTGAGCTTTAATAAAAATACAGGCATCAGCTTCTTCTGCCACCAGGTTTCCCAGCTCCCAGGATTAGAGGAAAGGTTGCCACAGGCTCAGACATTCCCTCCACTGAACTCCTCCAGACTTTAAACTAAAGGTCCACAAGAAATTCAGACTTCCTCTATTTCCCTTCTCAGCAGCACCTACGACTCCCAACTCTTTCTCACAACCATCCTGCCCAATATTCAGATGTGCCCATTCTTACTGAAAGCACAGTTCAGTCATTCACATTCTCCTTTGCTCCAAGCAAGCTCAAAATTTGCAGAAATCCTCCTCCTCTCTTCCCATCCCTGCCCAAGTTAGGCTGACATTATCCTCCAGGTTTTCCTCCTTAAATGTTATTTATTTTCACTCCAGTTATGTAGAACACACTAGGAAAAAACCCCTGTAACTGTAACTAATTATGCAAGTTATCCTAATTAAGACTTTATGTGCTTCTTGTTTACAAGATATTAATCCTGCTGTGGGCTTTGATGGTTAGCAACCTCAGATGCAACGAGCTAATAACAGAGGAGTATTTGCTTTGACTCTCATTCCTGCGCTCTTGAAGACACAGAGGCAGCACCCAGTCATCAAAGTCTCACTGAAGAGTTGCTGTGCTGCCTAAACTGCACTTGAATGGAGTGGGATTTCCCCAAAAAAATCACCTGATTGCATCCAAAGTTTAAACCTCTCTGACTCAGCGAGACTTGCTCTCAAATGCTACAAACAGGACAGAAAGCAGACGCAACCACGCCGAGGCAGCCTTGAGTGCGTGCAGGCACAGCGGAGAGCTGCAAAATCCACCGACCACTTCCAAAGCCAGGACAGGGTATAAATGTTTTTAGGGAAGTTCAACCCACTGCATACTCTCTGGGCTCTGCAACCAGCCTTCCTGTGCAACCTCATCTGGGTGTTCCTGCTCCGGCAGGGGGATTGGACTGGATGAGCTTTGGAGGTCCCTTCCAATCCCTAACGGTCTGGGATTCTGTGATTCTGTAATTAAAGGTCTTCTCATTTCACAGGTACAGCTCCCGCACTCACGTGCAGGCAGAGAACGCTCCATTTAACTGGTCCAGAAAAGTAAAGTAACAAAGGTATACGGGCCCAAGAAAGTAATCTAACACAGACACCCTCTGCTCCTCTGGCCAGAAACTGCAGTGCCAAAATGAAAGATTTCAGTTCCATTAAAGAAAAAAAGAAACCTATGGAAAGTTCAAGATCAGCTCAATAAAGCAGAGTTCATGGCTGCTAAGTGCTGGCTTGAAATCTTTTCCTACAGGGTTCGGGTTTGGTTGGTTGGTTTTTTCCCCACATTTTCAATTTTGTGCTCTATTTTTTCTTCAGAAATAAGCAGTAAGGTTTTTTTTTTTTAGTCACGTTAATGGCAAAATACTATAAAAATAAAAACTTGTTTACATTCTCTCTGCCAGGCAAACATTGTACAAAGACTTTCTCTCCATTTAAACATTCAGGAGTCACAGACCATGTAACTGCTCAGCTGTGCGTTTCTCAACATGCATTTCTGTTATGAAAACAACCCTCTCGTTGGAAACTTGTTTATAGTAAAATCAAACACTGCCAAATATTCATCTTTAACTGTTAATGGATTAAAGGGAAACTGCACTTGGAAAACACAGGGCATGGAACAAATGATTTTATGAATAAATAAGTCAACTATTTAATGTTTCCATAAAACACAACCCACGAGCGTTATGGTACAAGAAAGACTTCAAACACCACCAATTCAACGTTTTGTTGGGGTTTCTGGGAACACGTCACAGCCTGCGATGATGCCAGCAGAGCTTTGTCCCACACACACACAGAAGGATTAAGCCGCAAGCTTTTTCTTGTCTTCTATTGCTTGAGTATACACCTGTACCATTTCTAATACTGCATCATCTTGAAAGCAGGGAGTTCAATCACCACTTCGAAACACTCCTCTCAATTCTACAACAAAAGAAAAGGTTTCTCTCAAATCATGCTTATTTGGGCTTTCTGGAACCTCATTTCACTTCATGCCAAACCTGAGTCATTAATTAAAAAGCACTGATTACTGTAGAAAGCCTACACAGTTTTCTTGAGCATTTCTTCAAAGGAAAAAATTTCAAAACTGACATTTTGTTTTAAAAGCTGTCAGCAAAGAGACTGGCGAAGAACATTCAGTGATCACACATCACGTTACAGCGCTGGTATAAAGAAGGGCAGAGTCTACAAAATAAATCAGCAGGGTTTTAATTATGCAAATTATTATAAAAGACTACCTCAAGGACTTATACACATTTTCATCTTAACGCAGTCAAGGGAGAAGTTCACAGCACAATCCCTAGGGTGCACAACCAAGCAGGCTCCTACACTTCTTGAGGGAAAGGACGAGGCTTTTAGTCCTAAAAGAAGCAGCCTCCTGAGAATCTTATTTTACTTTTTAAACAGGAAGTGTGAAAAAGTGGAAAACATAATATTCCTGAGTGAGCTCTAACTTCTGCTTCCCATTCATATTTAACTCTGGTCTTATATTTTGTTAGAAATGTAGCTAAAAAGGCTGCAAAATTCACATTTCATCTGATCTATAGCCACTACAGAAAGGAAGCAAGCCAGCCTTGTGGGGAAAAAAATATCTATTCAATATTTATCTGGAAAGGGGTACACAGAAGCTGGTGTGCATCTCAACATCTCCCAGATTCAGGATCTCTGAAAACAGTGACAGCCCTGAGCAGTCAGCAGTGTCTGCCCGACACTGCCACCGCTTCTACGTTCCTCTTCTTGTAAAACCAGCATTAATGCATGCATAAAAGACTCGTTACTGTTAAATCCGACATTATTTTTGTGGTACTGAAAAGCTACTTGTAATTTAGAAATTGTATTCTTGTTATCTTTACAAAAATCATAAAGACCATACCACTA